TAGAAAAAAAAATTGTGTATTTTAAATTAGATATTTAGTATTATTTGTGTAGGGAATGAGAAAATTAAATCGAGAGATTTTTAGGATTTTGTTATGTTTTATGAGTTTAAATAGTTCTACCCAAGTAGAAATACTAAATAAATTTAATACAAGTTCTCAACAAATTTGAGCATAATTTCCTTTATAAGAATTGAAATGTCAAACTTTAATGAAAATAAATTTCGATAAAAATGCAAAGATATGTAGTGTCCTATGTGTCACCCTTGAAATATATAGTAGAGGTACGTTAAAATTTCTGAAAATTTAGTTGGAGGACGGAGTCTCCCAATTTAGTACTAATTATAAGTCTAACTTAGTGGTAATAATAATTGAGCGTAATATATTGTGTAGTAGATTTTTGTTTATAATCGCCTTATGATTATATTTTGATGGCAATTTTATTTATTTACGCACTTAAAATTCAAAACATGTTTAATTATAAATTAATTTCACTCATGATTATATCTTAACAATATATCTTATCAGTTATTTTTTATCAATAAATAAAATTATTTATTAGGTATATAATATAATTGTATGGAAAATTAGGATTATTTTATATTATAACGAAGTAAAACTTATGTAAAGTGAACACAACCTAAGTACGAAAAATAAACACTGAAACCTCACATTGTTCTTATATTCTTCTAGAAAATCATTTTCAATATGAACAGTCTCTATTGTCCGGTGAGTTTATTCTATAAATCTATTGATATATTTTAGTAATTATAATTGGAATATTTACATTTAGGTATACAAGTAGTAACAATAATACTGAAAATAATACAGTCAATGAACTAGAATATAATATTGAAATTAATGAACTTTGTGATTTATCCTACTAAGAAATAATTATCAATATGAAAAAAACTATATTAACCAGTAAAATTATCATGTAAATTATATTAATACACTTTGTTAATTAAAATTCCAATATTTTCATTTAGGTACCACAAAGTGTTATAATAATACTGAAAATCTTGCAGTCAATGAACTAGATAGCGACAACTTGGACAATATTGAGGCCCTGTACAGTCATTTTTGCAAGACCTTGATAAGCTTTATTTTTGTTTTTTTATTTTCCATTACCTAGCATAGGTAGACCTTTAAATACAATTTTTCATTGTTTATTAATATTAATTTGTATTTTTTTAAATAATCATGTGAAATTACTATCTAGCTATGACAATGACTAAACATGGTACTTCTAAAAGCGTGGGGTTTTGTGTCACAGCTTGTAAAAAAACTTCCTTCAAGTAGGCCCTGAAATTAGAACTTCATATTGAATGTAATTAACTTTGTGTTTCTGTACATCAAGAAAATGATGATCAATGTAAACAATCTTTAAAAACCAGTAAGATGATATTATACATTTTATTAAATTGATACATTTTGGTATAATTAAAATAAATTGGAATATTTACATATAGGTACTAGAAGTTTTAACAATAATTCAGAAAATTATACAGTATTTAAATTTGAACAAAATATTGAGCGTAATTAACTCTATGATTCTGTCTTTTGAGAAAATAATGATCAATATGAACTGTCTTTATCAGCCGGTAAGGTTATCTTATTATATTTTATTAACATATTTTAATAATTAAAATTAAAATATTTTTATTTAGGTACCACAAATTGTTATAATAGTGAAAATTATGCTGTCAATATATTCAATCGACTTGGTGTTTCTGTCCTTTGTGTGAATAATGGTCAATATGAAAAACCTACATTAACTTGTGAGATTGTCAAATAAATATGAGTTGAAATGGGCCATCTATCAGTCACCTGCATCTATATATAAATATGGCTGCATTTGAATTTCATGCCAAAAAAAAGAGCATTGTTAGTTGACAACCAAGTTACATGCGATTAGTTATGATTATAATTTATAGATAAATAAATTTTATATAGTTCAGCGATTTATAATTTTTGATGATCAATCAATAGTAAAATTTTATTTCAAACACTGTGTACTGTGAATAAAATGGGGAGGGGTATTATACCATAAGTGCATCAACTGTTTAGGAATTCCTTTAAGGCTCAAGATCATTCCTACATTGATTTTGAAGAAATGTTACATTATTATTTGAACATAATCTAATTGAAGATTGGCGAATTGGGCACGAAAAAAACCGAAGTTGACAAACTGTACAATATGTGCAATATGTACTTACAAAAAAAAAAAATGATGTAGACAATTTATACGCTATAGTGGTTTCTATTGCGTGATAAAAATACAAAGCCAAAATAACAAAAACAAAAAGAGCACAATTTGTAAAAAAAATCAATAACACATGTAATTTGTCAAGATTCAAGGTGAAACTAAGTTTTAAACTATCTATGTAAGTATACAAGTATACTTTTTAAACATCCTTAAAGATGATGTCACTTATGCCGAATTTGTTGAAAAAATAAACCCTTGACGTGAAAGAGGTCATTTTAAGTTCGGAGCAGAGCGAGGAATGTATTGGTTTGCAATGAAGTTTATTTTTTTTTTATGCTGTGTAGAAGATTTCAACTAGCTCCAAATATCTAAATTGAAAGTGAAAATTAACTCTCCAATATCAAATATATAAAAATAAGTAATCCATACAATAAATCAATCTATGTACAAATATTGAAAGATTTAGGAAAATATACAATTCCCAATGTTCATATTGCACATGACCATGTTCAATATGAACTGTAAACATGTCAGTAGGCAGCCTAATGTAATTATGAATATAATATAATATAATATTTAACCTTAACCTGTCTTATATGATAATTTATGTATAGCAACAAGTATTCAAAAACAGAATGCAATGAAAAGTTGATGATAGCAGTTTTAACACTAGGTTGAAAGAGTGGCATTTTGAAAAATATACTTTAATTCGTAGAAGAACTTAATGAATTTTTCTCAGACACGGGATATCTGCTAGCGAATTGTTATACCAAAGAGTTGGATGCAAGTTTTAAATTATTTTTAAATAATATTGATTCACTTCAGTCATTTAGCCTCAACAAAATTTCAAAAAGGTGAGTAATATTGTACAAGGTGATCTATTAATCATATGACACTCATTATAATGAGTACCCTGTAGATATTGTATCATTATTCTTCCATACTATCTTATGAACAGACAACCGAAAAAAAACTGCATATTTGTTAAATTTAAAAATAATGTTGTTTTCTAATATACAGATTTAACAAATAATAAATTTAAATATCCAAACATATCATTCATGGAAGCCATAATTTTAGTAATTGTCCATAAATGTAATGAATTTAAAAAAGAAACCAACTTCACAGTAAATATGATGGTTTGTCTAATATTAATGTAATATTAAATTTTGATTTTCAATTTTAATTTTAGCTATCCGAATTATGCCTGTATACAAAGCAAATGATGGTGTATGGTCAATTTAGGCAACCTAAATACAAAAAATGATAAAAAAAATTATCAGTAGAGATTAATTTTCCTTACTAAAAATAATTCACACACAGAAATAACCACAATTATGTTAACATCCTGAATATAATTTAAAATAGAGTTTATTATTAAATGAGATTTATAGTTTGAAAGTGGAGGATTATTATAAGTTTGTAAATAAACATAAAGTGCTGCGTATAATCTTGTTTTATTGGTTATTTAACATTAATTTTTTTTTTTCAGGAGTATAACAACAAGGGTGAAAGTCTTACAGTACTTTTGTTAATGACTTTTTAACAAAAAAAGTATAACTATTCTATTATGACATTATTCACGAAGCATACAACAACTATAAAGACAAGTATCTAAATACGCTAAATGATCTAATACAGATAATTAAATTACAAAAATCGCTAATTATAATACATTTCCGTTGACATCCACCGCTATCTCACAAAAAAATTAATTGAACTTTAACAAGTAAATAAAAAAAAACTTAATCAATTTATTATTATTTCTAGCACAACAATGGAAATGAGAAAACTATTAGAAGATATTGTATGAAGATAATGAGTGCCAAATCATTCTTAGCTGCCTTATCTTGTAATGGTGTCCTGTCTGGATACTACTAAAATTTCCGTGGTCTCAGGACAAAACTTATCAAAAATAATTGCAGTTCTTTAGCTTTAAATTTTATTTTTATTGTACTAATCGAAACTTGGTTAACATATTACTTTTTGAAATCTGAGCTTGGGCTTGTTAACCAGAATATTTTTAGTTATGCCCGTTGTAATGCTACCATTAACTATTTTTACTGTGGAGGGGTCCTCATTGTTGTTCATAAGGATATCTGCTTTCCCTGTAAATCAATTATTTATGGAACACTTCTTTGTTTATTTTTCTATTGGTTTATCAAATTTTATTATGAAGGTGTATACATTCCAACAAAATCTTTCCTTTTAATCTATGAATCTCATATTGGTTCTATTGAGCTTTTTTTCAAGTGTTACTCAGATAATTTATTCATTATTTGTGGTGACTATAATTTCCCCGAGGTTCCGATTGGTTTAGTGCACTGAGTTTGTCACTTAATATTTCTAAGTGTAAAGTTTTTACTTTTGTCAAGATGAAATCTCTTGTGTTTTTTTTTTTTGTACTCCTTTAACACCTTTAACATAGTCAATATTCTGTACATAATTAATAGTATTTTAGATCTTGATTTTAAATTCACTTCCAACCTTGGGCCAAAACAACATATTGAATATATATTCTGCAAGGTGTTTAAATTGCTGGGCTTTATTATTAGATTGACTAATGAGCTAAATCTAAGTGTATCAATCAAGGTACTTTTGTGTGCCCCATTTTGAAGTATGGATGCACTATTTGGGATCCTTATACTGCTTGTGACATGTGGCAAATTGGACGAGTCCAGAATAAGTTTTTACGTTTTGCTAGTTATATTTTAAAATCCACTATCCACCTCATGACTATTCACCAGTAACTAATCTTCTTGGCTTTTTTTCATTGGCTGAGCAAAGGTGAACTGCTCGATATAGATTAATTGAATGACTATTAAATGGCAAAATTGAATCCACTGTTGCGTGCCTCACGTAAAAAGACATGTGTGAACTGTAAATGGTAATAGCTGAAATGTGTGCTACCTAAAACCTACTCAATACCTACCGAAATACCTACTCAATATAGATGGGCCTGTAATTGTAATGTAATTGTAACTGTAATGTACCAAAAGTTGCTGTGGCCTCTCAGTTTCAGTACACAGACCCACACCGGTCATATTCTAATTTCCAATACAAATAAACAATAGTATTTAAGATACTATAGTATATTTCTTGTTTATGTTTATAATATTTATATATTATGCATTTAACATTAGCATGTATAGTTTACAGTATTGGCCATTGACAACACAATGAGGTTGATTTGTGTTGATTTACCTAATAAAGGTGAAAGCAACCGAGATTTCGCAAAGTTAAATTAGTCTAATTGTATTGATTTATTAATTATTATTTTAGTGTTTACTGTTATATTTAAATTGTTAACATTGTTATTATATGCACTTTATAAAATACATACAATTTACAATAATTATGAGTACAAAATTTTTGTATAAATATTTTAAATTGAAATGTATAATCTTTATTTGAATGTAGTATGACCTCGAGTATGCAACTAATTTAACCGTTTTTTTATTAAAAATGTGTTACTAGTATCATTACCTTTTTTTTTTTTAATAAGTCACTATTTTCAGTTTTTCTAACGCCAAATTTTTATGCTTCAATGGGCTTAAATATTATTAAATTCATAATTGTAAACCTGACCTATTGGTTTAATATTACAGGGTACACTTTTCCAGATTCAGTTTTATATTTTTTGATTTTAAATACATTTTTTTTTTTTTACAGTTATGACTACTTAATATGTGTTACTAGCAATAAAAATAATATTTTTTTGAACAGCAGTCATTTGGTCAATGAATTAATTATTTTTGATTCTCAAACAGGGGTTATAAAATATGGCACAAAATATACAAGGTGACTATCAGGGCGGGATTAGACTCCATAGATCTACAACTGACCAAATGTTCATAATAAGACAAATTATACAAAAACGCTTAGAATTTGATATGGATATACACATATTATTTTTAGATTTTAAAAAAGTATACAATTATATCCACAGAGAAAGCCTTATAAATATACTCGACGATTTCAGATTCCCCAAAAAATTTGTAAAACTTATTAAAGCTAGTTATTAATCACATAAATATAAAAATCAAAGAAGGTATCGTAATATCACAGCCAATGAGTAACGACAGGGTTACTGAAAGGGTATGCACTATATCCAGTACTATTTAATTTAGTACTGGAGAAAGTAGTATGTGAAATAAACATTTTAGAAGGAGTCGCTCATGATCAGATTACAATTGGATTGTTTGGATTATGCCAAACAAAGACTAAGATAGGCAAGTCATGCATGGGATAAATAAAGAGCGTTAGTTAAGCGGGTTGTTGCTGAAGAACTTACTGAAAAAAGACCTCTAGATAGACCTAACTAAGTTTGTGTGAAAAGATCTTAAAAAGATAGAAACAGAAAAAAGTATATGTTTAGCAGTATGTTCTTAAAACCCGAACCAAAGAAAAAAAGAAGAAATATATTATTTTTACAGTTATGACTACTTTTGTGTTATTAGCAGTGAAAATAATATATTTGTCTACAACAATCATTTGGTTAATAAAGCAATTATTTTTGATTTTCAAGCAATTAGTGGTTATTCAATTTTTTAAAATACATAGATTTATTTGTTATTATTATATAAGCAAATATACATTTCATTTTAATAGTCTAATGCTCACAATGCATAAAATCATGCAATACAAATAGACAGACACAAAAGAAATAAGGTGTCCTGAAATTATGTTCAGAAACCTAAAATTTAATAGTGAATAGTCTGTCATTAAAAATCTAAAATGTAAAACACTTCTTACAGTATTCAAAAATGAATAAGAACGACACATTAAAAAATTATTCTTATTTTTGACAAATTGATTAATATTACAAAAATAATATTGATCTCATTATCAACCAAATCAAAAAAAAAACATTTCATATAAAAATAATATTTTTCATACATTCATAACTATTTAGTGTACAATAGGTCAATAACTCTACCAATTCCCGGCTAAAAATACAGTCTACAATTACTGAATTAATGATATTGTACAATACACAATTTGGAATCATAATGTTTATCGAGAACGGTACCTAATCCAAATCATTACGATTGCTCAACAGTATTCCCGGTTAAACTAATCAAAACCCGCATTATTTTCCGTGTTAATTTTGACCGAATGGTATTATAATATTAAATAGTTCGACGGCTCCATGATACTCTTTGAAACTCCGATTCACAATCAAATCCAGCTATATTAATTTCCAATCACTTCGACTTTCACGCTTCTCTTTGAGTATTCTTATATTATATCGCATATTATATACATAACCTACTCATACATACTATTTAAAATCATAATTCGGATTGTGATATTTATTCGCCATAGTAATAGAGTAGTGTGCAAAGTTGTTTGAATATACGCATTTAATGCAAGTAGCGGCTAGAAATAACGAAATCGAACTTCCGACAACATAAAAACGGAGAAAAACTCCGTAACACATTNGATTATCATTATTTATTAACCGTCACTGCGTCAGTTCATTTTACAATTATTATTATTATTTTACAATTATAATATTAAATTGCTTTTCCGCTCTATGATCCTCTTTGAAACTCTGATTCACACCCTATCAAATCGAGCTATATTAATTTCGAATCACTTCGACTTTCACGTTTCTCTTTGAGTATTCTCATATTATGTCGCTATACATAACCTACTCTATACATACTATTTAAAATCATAATTTGGATTGTGATGTTTATTCGCCGTAGCAATAGAGTAATGGGAAACGTAGTTTGAATAGACGCATTTAATGCAAGTAGCAGCTATAAAAATATGCCGACTTACAATGAAACAGAAAAATTGACTTCCCGGCAACATAAACACGGAGGAAAACTCCGTAACACAATTCTACGATTGGTACCAGGAGAACATAAGGTGAGAGTTTCTACGTAGTAGCAATCGACCGACTGCCGTACTACCGTAGAATATCCACTCGTGTTCATNTACAGGATTGCAGCAAAAATCCGAAATTGTCTGACACTGTGTTAAGTAAAACAATACAAATCTTAACCTCGAAAAGGACTACCAGCTGTTAAATTATTTGAAAATTATATTATTACTATTTGGATCATTATAGATTTTAACCCAGCATAAATATGAATATTTTAATGTTTTAAATAGGAACATAATTTTATTATTTACGACAACCGCCAAACCTAAATTAACGACCGACTGCCGGACGACCGTTACTACCGTAGAATATCCACTCGTGTTCATGAACCCCTGGTACGGGATTGCAGCAAAAATCCTCAATTGTCCGACACTGTGTTAAATAAAATAATACAATTCTTAACCTCGAAAAAGTCTACCAGCTGTTAAATTATTTGAAATTTATATTATTACTAATTCGATCATTATAGATTTTAACCCGGCATAAATATGAATATTTTATTGTTTTAAATAGGAACAAAAATTTTTTATTTATCAGACGTACGACAACCGCCAAAACTAAATTAATATTTCTAGAAATTATTATATTACGTTTGGTACGTACCATTCAAAACCACTTTGGTTAAACGCGAAAGGTGTTTTGGAGATTAACCTCGTAATATTCATTATCAATTATGATTACATGATTTTTTAATGTATTAAATAGGAACATAATTTTATTATTTATCAGACGTACGACAACCGCCAAACCTAAATTAATATTTCTGGAAATTATTATATTACGTTTGGTACGTACCATTCAAAACCACTTTGGTTAAACGCGAAAGGTGTTTTGGAGATTAACCTCGTTATATTCATTATCAATTATGATTCCATGATTTTTGTTTGGTTATCTATACATTCGCGAAAACGACGTGTTTATGGTTATTACGAAAAAATATTAATTTATGATAAAAAAAAGCGGGTTAATCCACCTTTACTATATTATCTATATACTCGTGGACCAATAAACAATATGTCTGGTCTATGCATGTACTCGAATTTTATANCAATTATGATTACATGATTTTTGTTTGGTTATCTAAACATTCGCGAAAACGACGTGTTTATGGTTATTACGAAAAATATTAATTTATGATAAAAAAAGGCGGGTAAATTCACCTTTACTATATTATCTATATACTCATGGACCAATAAACAATATGTCTGGTCAATGAATGTACTCGAATTTTATATAATTAATCAACCTTTGGTAATGGCTAGGTATCTAATCATTACTTTATCGATAACCTAACATCTTAACCGTTCATTTCGTTTGGTTATGATATTTTAGTAACCTATAAAGAGAAGTCCTCAATTTACCGTATCGTTTAGATTCGTGTGTTTTGCACACAACACGTTCATTTTTATTGTACGAAATAATTTGTACCAGTCGTTCTAACGACAACCAACATTATCACTCACTATCATTATTATTTTACCTTTCACCGATAATGCGCGTTAACTATTATCGCATATCTTTCGTGAACTATAATATCATTATTATATTATATTATTTATGAAAAGATAGTTATTATTATTTCGCCATAAATATTTCACCGTCTCTAAACTTTCTTCAAATTTTTTATTATAAATACTATTTTCTGTCATAAAAGACGATGTCATTGAAATATTACCTAAACAGTATTCGCTTAATTAGTAAAATCTACCTCTTTTATATGATTAATAATAATTGTAATAATAATAAAAACACCAAAATTATTTTACTTAATTTTAGTTACTAATATATTGCTATTTTTAATAGTTTACGTTCTACTGATAGGTACTGACTACTGGTTCTACCAATTGGTATTGATTTTGAAATCAATGGTGCAACCTATATTAAAATTACTTGATATTGTACTTACTAGTACTAATTTGTGATTTTATATTATAAAAAAATACATTGTAAATACAACAAACTTTTTGAATAAAGTGCATATCTGTCCCACGTCAATAAACACGAGTGTTTAAAACGTGTATTTAGAATTTATAACTTTTTCTCGATTTTCAACTATTTGTATTTCAATTTAAAAAAAAGAAAAATAAATATTTTAATGGTACGAAATATTACTGATTGTCATAGTAATCCGTACTTTTTTAGTCATTATTTTTAAATAAAAAAAAAAATTAATATTATCTACTTAAAAANTTTCAACTATTTGTATTTCAATTTAAAAAAAAGAAAAATAAATATTTTAATGGTACGAAATATTACCGATTGTCATAGTAATCCGTACTTTTTTAGTCATTATTTTTAAATAAAAAAAAAAAATTAATATTATCTACTTAAAAAATTGTTTTAAAAACGGCGTTATTTAACCAAAAAAATAGTTGTGTTCATATAATATCTATAGTTGATAAGGATAATTTAATTATAATAACTATATAGTAAAAATATAAACGCTATAGTCATAATAATAAAATATCTATATAGATGGCAGATACGTAGATCTCTCTCTCTCTCTATATATATATATATATATATATANCATTATTTAACCAAAAAAATAGTTGTGTTCATAAAATATCTATAGTTGATAAGGATAATTTAATTATAACAACTATATAGTAAAAATATAAACACTATAGTCATAATAATAAAATATCTATATAGTTGGCAGATACGTAGATCTCTCTCTCTCTATATATATATATATATACATACAAGT